GAACAAATTCTTTGGTAACAGCACATGAACAGCCTTCTGGAACGAATTAAGTACGAAACTCGGGGTACCACTGTAATGTTAAGTTTATTTAAAAAGTTTAATTTTGCAACACATGCTGAGGTCTATCTGCCATAGGATTATAAAATATCCTAATTTAATCTTGAATTGTTTACGTTCAAAAATGATTGGCTAAACGTTTCGGAATAAAGTTGCCTAAATGTTGCCTATGTGTCTTACCTACCAACCTGTCGGTATTGTATACCATTTGATCATCACAATGATTGGCTATGTAAGGGTTATTAAGGCTGCATGTTACCTATACACCGTAAGTCAAGAATACTACTCTGCTTAAATACTTATTAAAGGTAACTCTCAGCATATATACACAGATATACAGTACCTCTCGGAGTATATTCATAGAGACATACACCTCTCAGTTTATATACCAAGAGATATACTGAGAGATACACCTCATACACTATACTGAGATGCACACAACTCTTGGTGTGTGTATATGCTCATTATTACTCAGATATACTCACCGATATTCCATGATATTACTAATAAAATAACTGTTACATTATTGTATTTGCTGTAAATCTTTACATAACATTTATTTAAAAATTGTATTTATGTTACCGCAAATCTCAATACACTTAAGAATTTTAATATCCAATGGTATTTTGTGTAATAATTTTGTTCTTATTAATTAGTAACTAAATGACTAGACGATAATAAAGCAAACGGTATAAAATACAGATAAACGATCTTCCGACACTCCGAGGCCACACATATCTATGTGGCATGTGTAACACATGTAAGGTATGTGATGTGTCTATGATGTGATGAGTCTATGATATGTGTAATCTGTTAGACTCCTCATGCTGTAAGTCACATATGCCACAGATACATGACATGTCTATATCATGTGTGATACATCTATCATATGTGCAACATGCCTATAACACATCTGATAATGTGTTACCCAAATGTCCATGAGTCAAGCAAAATTGGCTCATACCCAAATGTTCATAACCTAGTGAAATGTAAATTTCACAAGCAATCTACTACATCGCTTTACTCAATACGTGTTCTCATCTGTCAGCTCCCATTCAGGCAACTCTTATCTAACCACACTTCTTCTTTCAACAAACTGGCTGTATCCTGCCCAGGCAGGGTGGCCCAAAAAAGAAAAACAAGTTTCTCTTTTTAAATTTAGTATATTATACAGGAGAAGGGGTTACTAGCCCCTTACTCCCAGCATTTTAATCGCCTCTTACGATACGCATGGCTTACGGAAGAAGAATTCTGTTCCACTTCCACTTCACTTATAAACAATAAATACTTACACAAAAAACCTAGCCAAATTGGAAGAATAAAGTCACAATACCATGGAGGGAACAATTCATATTTAGTCCACAAATCAGAGGCAAATTTTCAACTGTTTCAATCAGTTCTAGGCCCACAAATTTGAGACAAATATTCAGTTGTTTCAATCAGTCCTGGACCATTACTGAGGCAACTTGATCAGGGAAAGACTTGCCACTTATACATGAATACATATAAACCATACCCCCGGCCGGGATTGAACCCGCGGTCATGAGTCTCAAAACTCCAGCCCGTCGCGACTCATGACCGCGGGTTCAATCCCGGCCGGGGGTATGGTTTATTTGCAATCGTGTCATTACGATTTCTTGAGTCATGAATACATATCATGGCACGAGCAAAACAAGACAAATTGTTTAAGGAGAAACTGAGGCCATGAGTGACACTTTCAACGTCTTGTGCAAAATCCACGACAAACATTGGTAAAATAATATCCCTTTGTTGAAGGACTCTAGGCAGAGTGACAAACCCAGAGAGGGGCCAAACAGACCCAGAGAGGGCCATACAGACCCAGAGAGGGCTATACAGACCTAGAAAGGGCCTATACAAACCCAGAGAAGGCCAAACAGACCATAAACAAACCCAGTATATAAGCACCAGCTTTTTTGCCTGTGCTCCAGAACCTTCATGACTATGGTGCTCTTCACACCAACTCCAAGGCTGAGGGACTTATTACCTCATCTTTTGTATATAGTTCTTCTGTCTTCCATTTATGTCCTTCAATTTGTATAGATAAAGCCACTGGATGACAAAATGTCTTCAATAAAGATACCCAGATGTTGCACATGTGTCTAATTTTTCATCAAACCCAAAGAAGGCCATAAAAGCTGAGAAAGGGATGTACAAATCCAGAAGAGAGTCATACAAACCCAGATAACAACCATACAAGCCCAGACAAGGGAAATACAAGTTAGGAGGGGGCTATACATAACTAGTGAGGGCCATACAAGCTGAGGGGGCAAGATATACAAGCCCAGAAGGGAACAGGCAAACCCAGTGAGGGCCATACAAGCCTTGGGGAAGGTTATACAAGCCTAGGGGGTCAAACGAGCCCAGAAATAGGCCATTTGTATCCATCAACCTGTTTAGAATAGAGATGTATTGGATGTGAAAATTTAGATATCCGCAGATGTGGAAGTGTATGAGGATGTCTTATTTACTTATTTTGCGGATGTTGACGCATTCGCAAAATAAGTAAATACATAGTGGTGTATGGTAGATATTGTCACTGGGTGTGCACTGTGCCACCGTGCGAACCTACTACTCTGGCATAAGTATTACTCATAACAACTGTCACAATATTTCGTAACAGGGGAAGAAAAATTAGTTTCCCATCATGATCCATGATTATATCATGGATGTGGATGTAAGAAATTGTGAGGATGTTCTGCAGATGCAGATATCCGATACATCTCTACTAGGCAGTACTAGGCATTAGAGATGTGTTGGATGTGAAAATTTAGATATCCGAAGATGCAGATGTGTATGAGAATGCCTTACTTATTTTGCAGATGCAGATATTTATTTACAGTAAGATGCGGATGTAAGAAATTGTGCGGATGTTCCGCAGATGCGGATATCCAATACATCTCAAGTTTAGAATATTGTAAAGAAAATTCAGCAATAAGACTGTTTACATACTTCACTACAAGGACTATCATACAGTCCTCCAAACATGCCACACAGCTAGTGCTGAATTTTGATGAAGAGTCGGGTGTAAATATAATCCTCACAGAGTCATTGCATTAACTCTCAAACTGTCCAAATGTGGATCTACGTTCATATGTGTAGCGCTCCAAACGTAGATCTACATTCTTTTTTACATTTGAAAGCATGTAAAATAAAACGTAGATCTATGTTCGGAGCACTACGCACGCGAATGTAGTTTAAGTTGTGAAGAGAAATTAAATTCACAGAGTTTACCTACTCTTCCATACAGGAAAACTAACAGTGAGTATCATGTATAAGATCATGAATGAAGTGTTTTAATCTCAAGTCTGGAATACTGTTCCTTAGAAATAACAATCTCATCTTATCGTCTAAGTAAAACATTGTGTAAGGAGTGCTGGGGACCAAACCGGTGCCTTTGCAACTCCAAAGTTATACTAACTCAAAGTGTAGAAAAGATTTTTATATGGGTAGCCCCAACTGTTCCTTAGATTAAAGAACCAAAGCAGTCACCCAATGATGCTACTGACGCCATCAAGAGTGGAATTAAGTTAGCAGTAGACCTAATAACCATAGTGCTGTATGGTAGATATTGTCACTGGATGTGCACTGCGCCACTGTGCGAACCTACTACTCTGGCATAAGTATTACTCAGAACAACTACCACAATATTTCATAATGAGACAGAAAAATAAGTTCCCCATCATGATCCACGATTATATTATGGAGCTTAATATTTATGATGAATTTAGCATCTTCGCTGGGTGTGCGGCACTCACCTAGCACACCCAGAATATACGCCCCTGCTAATAACAAAGTAACATTTACATTGATGGAGTACACAATGCCTAGCTCAAATATCCAAACAAGTTTAACGTTAAACTTGAAACTACCAAAGATAAACCAACAAAAAATATTTTCTTACAAACTTAATACAAATTCAAATAAGCTTGGATTAAAAAAAAAAAAAAGAAAACCAAATATTTAAATGTACTTTGAGGTCTACAAAAATCTAACATATCCTGTAACTGAAAGTTTAATCACAAATATTCTGGTATTGGGAATTAACCAAAACTGACTGCTAAAAGAAAACTAGTCTTTTTTGCTCTTAACCCCTTCAGGGTCCAAGGCCCAAATTTGAAGTGGTGCCCCAGGGTCCAAGAATTTTCAAAAATTTGTTATTTTTTCTTACGAAATGGTAGAGAATCTTTTTGTGAAGGTAATAAAACAAAAAGTACGAAATTTGATGGAAAATTGACGAAATTATGCTCTCGCAAATTTTGATGTGTCAGCGATATTTACGAATCGGCGATTTTGCCGACTTTGATTCCCATTTTAGGCCAATTACATTATTCCAGTCAACCAAATGCTTAGCTATTTCACTAGTATTACTTCTATTCTATCGATTGAGCACAAGAAATCACCAAGTCAACTGTTTCAACTACAAATTCAAGTGATTGGAAAGTGTTAATTTGGCCAATTTAACACAAAGTTCAAAATATTCCAATTTCAAAATAGGGTCCAGAATAAACAATGTAGGTATTCCTGGAACTAAACTAACATTTCCTCTGTTCATTAGTTATGTTTTGAGGCTTTACAAATAAATTCCATTTTGATTTTTTATTCACATAATGAATTTTTATTCCCACACCAAAAATAGAACATTTACTGTTATGCAATACTGTAATAATTGTATAAATATCATCACCATATTTGTGAATGTATATTAGACCCACCAGCTGATGTGTATTAGACTTAAGGTCGTTTGTTTCCCTTCTTGAATATCGGCAAAAATTTAACATTTCTGCTACTTTGAGCTCAGTTTCAAGCCATTTCCAAAGTGCTAAAACCAATCAAAATCATCTCTATTTCTGTAATATGTCTTCCATTCTATCAAATGAACTAAGAAAACGCAAATAAAAACTATAAAAAACATACGAAAAAACACTGCAAAGTCGCTGTTTTAATCGAAAAATCATGATTTCAGTTTTTTTCTCTCATTATACACAGTGTGCTGCAGGATCTGTTTTATGTGGTGCACACATACCACATAGATGTATTCTCTCATATCTAGGCCCAAATGTACCACTCACAGTTTATCAGAGTGAGCTGAGCTCATGACGTAGATCTACGGTTTGGACCCTGAACGTAAAGCTGTAGATCTACGGGACGGACCCTGAAAGAGTTAAAGTCTGTGTGTCTCAAACTGACTAAAATGTCAAGTACGTACTGAAAATAATGCACAAAACTACTAATATAATGTGACTGAACAGAGGCTTTCTAAATCATTTTTTTTTTTCTCATTCTCATCTACAACTACAGTGGACCCCCGGTTAACGATATTTCTTCACTCCAGAAGTATGTTCAGGTGCCAGTACTGACCGAATTTGTTCCCATAAGAAATATTGTGAAGTAGATTAGTCCATTTCAGACCCCCAAACATACACGTACAAACGCACTTACATAAATACACTTACATAATTGGTCACATTCGGAGGTAATCGTTATGCGGGGTCCACTGTACTGGACTATAATTTCATTAACCCAAGTGAAGTATTCATGGATGTGAGTCGGGATACAGAAATGTCTTAAGACAATTCACTTCAATGAATTACTTTATATGTTCCTCAATATCAACAATAAATTCTGATGATATTTGAATATCAGTCTTTAGTAGGTACAACATACCTGGGTATAATGGTTAAGACATTCTAGAAGTGTAGGTATACCTCGCTAATATGGTGCTCGCTTTACAATGTTTCGCTAATACTACGACTTTCAATTAGTATATTCATGCTTGTTATTTTTTGTAATAAATTTGGTATCAGCATGCATCAGCTAACTTCAAATTGAAGTGAGCATTTCTTATATTATTTTTTCTTCTGTGTATTTTTTTTAGGCCTATCACTACCGCATGCTTAATAAATGATAGCGTAAACATGTTTTTAGTTTTTTTTTATATGCACCGGAAGTGAAAAAAGGCTGTAATTCACTTTACGGTGATATTCGCTTCATGGTGGTGGTCTGGAACCTAACTCGCCGTATTAGTAAGGTATACCTGTATACAGTGGACCCCCACCTTACGATCAGCACCCAACTCGAACAATTATGTAAGTGTATTTTTGTAAGTGCTTTTGTATGTGTATTTTTGGGGGTCTGAAACAGACTAATCTAATTTACAATATTCCTTATGGGAACAAATTCGTTCGGTAACGGCACCCGAACAGACTTCTGGAATGAATTAATATCGTAAGGCGGGGGTCCACTGTACTTGTCTAGGGTTAATGAATAAAAATTTATTTATTTTTTGACAGAACTGTGTTAACAGTACAGCATAACTTTCCTCAGCACTAACTTTTGCGGAGGAAAAAAATAAAAAAGATAAGCAACAGATCATCAATTATCTCCAGATCGCTTATTGGGCGCTTAGCGCCATCCAGCAGTCTCTTGCATACAGATCACCTGAACAAATAATGCAGAAAAGCAATGAGCAAATAACAGGAACCACAAGAATACTGCAACTATCCTGGGTTTTTGAAAATTCAGTGTAACTTATCCCTGGTCGCAGCAGGTGATCAATGATGTACAGCATTACATATGCGACCCCCAGTCATTATACTACACCATATTCACCTTTTCACACTACAGCATTTACAAAAATAATGGTAATTCATTTAATATTTTTACAGTATAGTACATATTCTAAATATCAATGTTAAAACCATTTATTATCAACAGCCTGATTATCAAAAAGTATCAACGTAAATGACTGCTCAGGTATTACCCACCTGACAATCAGACAACTATAAGATTGTTAGTTACAAACTAAGATAACTAACATTTTCCAGGACATTCCAAATTGAATGACTAACATAATGCATTACTGGTCTTATCAAAGCCATGTAACATTACCAAAGAGAAAATTCAAATCTCTCGTATTCACTGTAACTTATCTAATGACCATATGAACTATTATTGCCTTCCTAATCTTAAGTTAATTTTTAAGTTTGCCTGAAATGCTCTGCATACAAAGGGGCTTTTGGCACGTACACCCAACTATTATATTCCTCTGTACAACCATGTATCATGTCAAAATAAACTTCGTACTCTTAAATTCTAAATATAATGGAATGACGAGCTACACAAGGAAATATCTACTCCAAAAATGACATGTCTGTATGGTCAAAATGAAAATATATTAAATCTGTATACTCTACTTATTATAATGATTCTATTTTAATTTAAAAAGTTATAGGCTCTATTATTACATGTACTGCAAATTAAATTTTCAGTCCCAAAAAAAAGGTTAACTAAAACTGTATGATTTTTTTTTTTGAGAGTGAATAACTTAAGAAGTTTAGAATACAGAAAGGATAAATTACCTTAAGTTTCATCCCAATAATAGTCATCCCTTCCCCTGTCATTCCTTCTTCTTTTCCTTCTTGATCGACTGCTCCACAGGAGGTGACGGGTGTCATAAACTACATCTGTATCTCTTGGTTTGATCTCTTTAAGAAGATCAACCTCAGGGAGATTGAATGCATACTTATCGTCGGCTTGACGTTTTCGTCTTTCCTCGTCGTGATCCGTTTTCTTTTTGTCTTCTTTAATTTTATTGTTATTTGCATTCTCCTGATTCTCAACCTCATTTTGAGATGGTAAATTATTTGGTTTATTAATAGCTAGTGGTATTTTCTCTATTTCCTTTGACTTTGGTAACTCATTATTTACTCTTCCAATCAATTCTATGTTGACTTGTTGATTATCAACAGGGAGAACAGCTTTCTTAATGTCACTTGCTTGAGCAGTGTCTCCTCTCTTCAGTAGCAATGATTCATCTATATGTTGCACATCCTCCAGTTGGCCCACAGGCACTTTAGGTTTATCCTGTGACTGAACTTCCTGAACAGGGACTTTCTTCTGAAGCTGATGTACAGATACCTCCAAGTTTGCCTGAGACTCACCTAGTAGCACTTGTAGGTTTTCAGGTGCTAGTTTCTCTTTAGGATCACTTCTAGCAACACCAATGGATTGTCCAATATTATGACTCAGGACAACAGCTGGTTGGGCTTGGTTATCTACATTACCTGGTTGATTATTAGCATTACCCATGAGAGAACCTACATTGAATACACGATTCCCACTAATGGGATAATTTGGAAGGGAATTTTGATTAGCTATTGGCTGGTCTGCTCTCTGGTTCAAACCTTGCTGAGGAATGTCCATATTTAGTACTGGAGCCTTTTTGCCTTGCACTGGAGAAGCTATCACATTGTTTACCTGTCCTGCATCATTACTAGGCAAGCGTGCAGGTTTACCAGCAGTAGGGTTTACGGCTTTGGGATTCACAGGAGCATCAAGTAGGTCCCCAGAACTAACAACAGCATGATTTACACCAACGGGAATTACAGCCGCAGGCTCAACTAAATTAAGAGCTTGGGGTTGTAAATTCCCAATGTTAATAACTTGGTTCTTGGCAACAGGTTGCACCTCATCTACATTAATTCTACGTTCCTCTTTCTGTATATTTAACTTTGGCTCCTGTTTTGCCTTCTGGTCTTTCAGTTCTTGTAGAATTTGTTTCTGTTCAGCCAGAATCTTCTGCTGTTCCTTGTATTGTACTTCAATTTTTTCAAGTAACTCAGCCTGTTTTTTATCAACTTCCACTTTATTTTCATTACCTTCTTCTTTATTGACTTTCTCTTCCTTTTTAATGGCATCTGGGTGTAAAGTATCTCCCTCATTTTTCTCATCTCTAACATTTTCCAATTTCTGCTGAACATCTATCTCTTTTTTCACCTCTATTTTATCTAAACCTGGTGCAATCTCTTTTTCAATTTTAGCTTCCTTCAGATCTTCAGCATCTTTGCTTTTCAAAACGCGATTGGCAATTTCTTCATTTTTGCTCTCAATTTCCTCAGGCGGAGGTTCTGGGGCAACAGGCTCTCGTCGTGTAGCAGAGTCCCCACGTACTGCAACCACCTTGTCAATTTTGCTCTCGTCAACCACATTATCTGTCCACGGAAGATAAAGACAAACATTAACTAAAATAATACAACTATCAAAGCAATAATAATGTCTGTATTAAGAGCAATTTTAATATAGCTAGAAATATGATGAAAGGATTGTGGTTGGTGTAGCACAGGACAAAGGGGGTGTTCTAAACATTTTTAAAACACAAACACAAATACACACACACACACACACACACAGGAGTGAAAAAGCATAGGGAAATTTGATGAAGGCATAGAACATAACATGGGTGTAGACAGGTATAAGCTCTGTACTAGGTATGTATGGCAACAAGAACATAGAGGTACTGTTGGAAATTAACAGACCTGCACGAGGTACAGGGTTATTAGAAAGTATTTCTTCAGTGGAAGAATGGTGAGGTGGAAGAGGAGGAGCAATGATGTAGTGGATTGAGAGGAACAATGATGTAGTGGACTGAGGAACAATGATGTAGTGGATTGAGGAACAATGATGTAGTGGATTGAGAGGAACAATAATGTAGTGGATTGAGAGGAACAATGATGTAGTGGAAGTGAACTTCAAATGGATTAAAAAACAGAAATGACAAGGCTCTGGTATGTTAAGATTAATATAATAAATTTAACCCTTTCAGGGTCTGTGCCGTAGAACTACGGCTTTACGTTCAGGGTCCAAACCTTAGATCTACGCCATGAGCTCAGCTCACTCTGATAAGCTGTGAGTGGTAAATTTTGGCCTAGATATGAGAGAATACATCTATGTGGTATGTGTGCACCACATAAAACAAATCCTGCAGCACATAGTGTATGAGAGAAAACAACTGAGACCGTGGTTTTCGATTAAAACAGTGACTTTGCAGTGTTTTTGCATATGTTTTTTATAGTTGTATTTGCTATTTCTTGGTCTCATTTGATAGAATGGAAGACATATTACAGAAACAGAGAGAATTTTGATTGGTTTTAGTTCTGGAAATGGCTTGAAACTGAGCTCAAAGTAGAGGAAATGTTAAATTTTTGCTGATGTTCAAGAGTAAACAAACGACCTCACACGTCTAATACACGCCAGCTGGTGGGTCTAATATACATTCACAAATGTGGTGATGATATTTATACAATTATTACAATATTGCATAACAGTAAATGTTCTATTTTTGGGTTTGAATAAAAATTCATTATGTGAATAAAAAACCAAAATGGAATTCATTTGTAAAGCCTCAAAACATAACTGATAAACAGAGGAAATGTTAGTTTAGTGCCAGGAATACCTACATTGTTTATTCTGGACCCTATTTTGAAATTGGAATATTTTTGAACTTTGTGTTAAATTGGCCAAATTACTAATTTCCGATCACTTTATTTTGTAGTTGAAACAGTTGACTTGGTGATTTCTTGTCCTCAATCGATAGAATAGAAGTAATACTAGTGAAATAGCTAAGAATTTGGTCAACTGGAATAATGTAATTGGCCTAAAATGGGAGTCAAAGTCAGCAAAATCGCCAATTCGTAAATATCCCTGAACCTTCAAAATTCGCAAGAGCATAATTTCGTCAATTTTCCATCAAATTTCGTACTTTTTGTTTTATTACCTTCAGAAAAAAATTCTCTACCATTTCATAAGAAAAAATAAAAATTTTTTTGGAAAATTCTTGGACCCTGGTGCACACTTTGAAATTTGGCCTCTGGACCCTGAAAGGGTTAAATGCTAAACCTTAAGGGGTCATACAGTACAGTGGACCCCCGGTATTCGATGGCATCGGTATTTGATAAATCCGGTATTCGATGCATTATATCGCAAAAAAATTTCCTTGGTATTCGATTGAAAACCCGGTATTCGATACGATTCGTACGAGACCTGTACACGTGTGGCCTGAACTGCCCCGTGTGTGCCAGTGTTTACAAGCCAGCCAGTGTGCACGCATCTAAGGATACGTTCGGTACATTCCATATTATCACTGTGTTTTGTGCTTGTTTCTGCAAAATAAGTCACCATGGGCCCCAAGAAAGTTTCTAGTGCCAACCCTGTGGTAAAAAGGGTGAGAATTAGTATGGAAATTAATAAAGATTTTGAAGGGTTTGGGGCTAACCCTGAGAAGCCTATGCCAGTTGTGGACTCCATTGTGCCTACTTCAAAAATTAAGGAAATGTGTGCACAGTGGGTTGAAGTGCAAACCTTTATGGATGAAAATCACCCTAACACAGCTATTGCAAGCCTTGCTGGTGACTATTACAATGACAATGTTGTGGCCCATTTTAGACAAATTGTAAAGGAACGGGAGGTACAGAGCTCTATGGACAGATTTGTTGTGCGACAGAGGTCCAGTGACTCTCAACCTGGTACTAGTGGCATTAAAAGAAGGGAAGTAACCCCGGAAAAGGACTTGCTACCTCAAGTCCTAATGGAAGGGGATTCCCCTTCTAAACACTAACACCTCTCCCCACCTCCCATCCCATCAATCATCACCAGATCTTCATTAAAGGTAAGTGTCAATTATTTTATTGTTATTGTAATTATTCTATTGCATTAAACTTAATATTTCATGTAGTAAATTTTTTTTTCATACTTTTGGGTGTCTTGCACGGATTAATTTGATTTCCATTATTTCTTATGAGGAAAATTGATTCGGTTCTCGATATTATCAGTATTCGATGAGCTCTCAGGAACGGATTAATATCGAATACCAGGGGTCCGCTGTACTAAGTCACGTCAAGAGAGGTTTTAAAATGAGACATTATAATAAAGACTTATACTGTTGTGTGTATTTTCATTCACCTGTTGACTTGCTCTCTTGTACTCACTGTAACTCCTAAATTTATATTTAAAACCCCACCTAAGAGACTATTTTAATAACCATAAATTTTGTCATTCCCTTTAAATTTAAGTTTTTTTTAATTTTCCCCCAAAATGCCGGCATCCCCAGGGGCTTTCTGCTGTAAGGGGGAACCTCAAAAATCAACTGCCCCAACTAACCCAAATTTTATGTAAGTGTATTTATAAGTGTATTTTTTAGGGGTTTTAAATGGTCTAATCTAATTTACATTATTCCTGATGGGGAAAAAATTTTTCGGGAGTGGCACTCGAACCCCTTCTGACCGAAGAAAAATTTTGATTTTGAGGTTCCAAATGTACACCAATTCATTTCCCCTTTTTACAAACAATATCATGCTGGAAAAAAGTATTTATATTACCAACCAAAAAAATTAGTAAATGAAATAATTTAAAAAAAACAATCATCAAGCCATCAAAAAAAAAATAGTGGATCAAAAAACAAAATTTGGAACGTGAAATTATTTTAATATTTTTTTTGTAGGTTTGGATCAATGGGATTTTTCGCCCAAATCGGATGGCCTGAGCCTGCTGCTCACTGGACCTGATTTTGTGGGATAAAGGGGAGGTATGTCCCTTAACTATCGCACTATTCCCCCAGCATGATGCCCCGGAATATTTAAGAAATAAATAAAAGATTATATTTTAGTAAAAGGAACAAGTGCAACTAATGGACTTTTTCAATGGGCCCCAAATCGGCCGAAAAAGTCGCGTAAGCTTTTCTCTTTTTTGGCGGTTATTTTGCAACTAATGTGATATTTTATTGACAAAGTTTCACTCTCCAGGAGCTTTACCCAACGGCTTGATAAAGCTCCTGGAGCAAAAGTTCCACAAGAAAATGTCACATTAGTTGCACTTATGTCCTTTTACTTAACATTGTCAGTAATTCTACCAACATTAATTCAAAAGTATTACAGGTCAAAACAATTTTTAATAGGTAAAGAAAGCAGATCCTGGAATTGGTGTGATGTAGCCCTGCTCATGTAATAATGGTAGGAATCTCATCACCACTGCTGCTGCAAGATAGGTAATGATGCTCTTCCATTTACAATGGGGTTACATTCTGAAGAACCCATCGTAAGTTGAAAATATCATAAGTCGAATATGAATATATTCTTTTTTTATATTCAACATGTCGACTGTCTCCCACTGAGACAGGATGACCCAAAAAAAGAAACACTTACACCATCAATCACACATAATCACTGTCTTTGCAGAGGCACTGAGATACGACAGTTTAGATGTCACTCTAAACAGTCAACATCCCAAACCCCTCCTTTAAAGTGCAGCTGTAATGGTGTCAGTTTTAAGGCTCCCCAAAATGCTTTGCATAAGAAGGGGCTTTCTATAAAGTTGAAATTGAGACACATGTGCAACATCTGGGTATCTTTATTGTAGACGTTTCGCCATCCAGTGGCTTTTTCAATACAGATTCTAGGACATAACTTGAAGACAGTAGCAGTAGAACTATATACAAAAGATGAGGTAATCAGTCCCACAGCCTTGGAGTTAGTGTTCACAGCATCGTGGTGGAGGAGAATCCACCACGATGCTGTGAACACTAACTCCAAGACTGAGGGACGGATTACCTCATCTTTTGTATCTAGTTCTACTGTCTTCCAATTATGTCCTAGAATTTGTATTGATAAAGCCACTGGAGGCGAAACGTCTACAAAAAGATACCCAGATGTTGCACACATGTCTTTATTTCATCTTGTCAGTACTGTATACCATTCTTGCACAACTTTCTATAAAGTAGTTTACATATGTCAATTATAGGTATTCCAATGTCAATTATATACTGTAATCCACTTTCTTGAAAAAAATTTTTTTTAAAAAAAACACTTTTCAAAAGCCAAAAACAAATAATTTAATTTTTAGAAAACGTTTTGGGGGTTTTTTTTTCAATTAAAAACCTGGAAACCCTTCCAAAAGAATTTTTAACCATAATTAATAAAGGAGTAAGGGGGAAAAATCCGTTTAACTTAAATGATCTTTAAATCCCACACCACAAAAACCCAAAAGGGGGGATCATTTTTAAATTTTGAAAAGGTTTTTGGAGGGGGGGTTTTAGGAATATACTCGGGTGATGGGGTTTGGGGTGGGGTGTGTTGTTAATGGGGTTTTTGTGTGTGTGGTGGTTGAAGGGGGGTTTGGGTTTGGGGGGTTTTGGGAACATTCCCCGTAACCGGGTTTAGTG